ATTTTTAAAACCAAACATAATTGCTAGTAAACAAGAAAATATTACATGTATATCTTTAATAAAACCAGTAAAAAAAACTTTACAATATGAGACTGGCTAGCCTCAATAAAAAATATTGTTGATTTGATAATGTTGATATAATACAACCACAAACTTTCTAACACTTGATGGTATCCAAGAAGCAGCATGTACAACCAATATTATTGTCATGTCATGTATAAGGTATTAGTTAGCTCAACAGTAAAAATGCTTTTATAAGGTTTTTTGTTTGGGGTATGTTTATTGAATCTTGTCAGTAGTAACACTTCTTGGGGGGGGGGGGGGGTCGGGGTACAGGCTGTAAAGTGGAAAAGGTTCTTGACATCACCTATAGTTAGGGAATTGCCAGTGAATCCTGCAAAACAAAGCATAATTAATTTTCAGATTGTAATTGGTTGTCTGTCAATCAAACCTACTCCTGCCAGCTACTATTTAAATTCAGCCAAGGATTCACTACAGTTCTCAAATTTTTTGATGTTTGGAAAAATGTTTTAAAGACAAGTTCTGTTCATCTGCCATAAAACTGATAACTGATACTGCAGTCTATTGGGTTGGTTTTTTTTAAATAAAAAATAGCTGATCAAATTGATATATTATAATGAGATAATCTATATTGCCCCTGGACTGGAGGCCAGTTCAGCTTTGTGTTAATTCTGTCACAAATAAAATCCATTATATTATTAGTACAAAGAAGAGAAGAAAATGGATGGCATCTGGGTTTGAGATTGAATTAATTGTATTTTAATTTCTATTATTTTACTTCCCGTCAGTTTGTTTACGTGTTTGTCATATAATCATAGCTTTATAATAAAAGTGTGGAGAATGTTTGTTAAATACAAACACACAATTTTCTAAAATAAACATGGATTAAATTATTTAAGAAGAACTAGATGTTGACAGAATTTATTTAAGAGTTTAAATTATTCCATGACATCTCATCTTCAAGATAGCTTTATAATGCATGACTGTCTTTAAAGAATTTTTTGTTGTAAAAGATACCGCAAAACAATGCAATCAATAAAATGCCTGATTGCATCTATAATAGCTATTATCACATCCTTGTTAAACATGCAGTAGGTTGAACTTGCTACTTAATTTGTGCTTGGTGTGTAATAAAATACAGTTTTTACTGCACAATAAAAAACCTGGATCAATATGTTTTAGTAATTTGGTAAATTGCTTTGGGCGTAATATTTTTATTTACTAACAACTTGAATCTAAAATTAGATTGAACAAATATGTTAAAAGTTGCTAATTTTAGTTTTTACCATTGATTTTTTGGGGGGTGTTTTAAAAAAGATAAGTATATTATGTAGTAGTTATATGATAGTTTCATGGTGGTCCTACTTCAAATAAAGGTGGCAATCGAAATAATTGATACACTTTTAACAGAAGAGGAAACAATGAACTGAATAATTATGAGGTCAACTACTTTCATATCTACCTTGAGGAAAATTTACATTGTTTTATGATTTTCATCTTGTCATGTGAATTGTAGATCTGTTCATTAAAAAAAAAACTTGTCTGGTTTTAAAAATAGTCACCAATGGGAACAAAACACTTATTTTTAGGTACCTGAATATTATGACAAATTACATTTAAAAAAAATTTTACTCTATGCCAACCAATGTTACCTGTAATGTTTTAGTAATCAATGTACACAAATATCCCTCATGCCTAATATGAAGCAAGTACCATTGCAATTACAATACATACAGTGTAGCAATGTATTTAGTTAAGAACTTCAGATTTCTATTATACGCCTACATTTGTATGTGGTCGTATTATTTCATCATCCCTTTCTGTGCGTCCGTTCGCATGTTTTTGGACACTCTTTAACAGATCACAATTTTTATCTGAATTTTATGAAACTTAACATATCGTGTATGTTTATATCACAAAGATCTCTGCTCCTTTCAATATTGGCATAGGTCAGACTGTAATTTCATGGAATAATGCCCCTGATTGTACGAAAAATCATGTTTTTATCTGATTTTGATGAAACTTTGAAATATATATAATATGTTTGTAAACCATCCAGAGGCAACAATTTTTGTCCCATTCAGATGAAACTTAACAAATATGCTAGGATCCAAAGATTTTGAATGAATTTTAACATTTTTTTTCAAATTTGATATGAAGCACTGGGACAATGAGAGGGTGAGCCCTACTGATTTCTCTATGTTCTCTGTCCATCTCTTGCAAAAAGTGGGCGTATTTTGCTTGGCAACGGCTTGTTTTATCTGGCTGTCAAATCTGTGCTAACAACAATTTACCTTATGGGCTTTCTGCCAGCCACCGCTCCGTTAAATTTTCGTAGTGTAAATGCTATCCCGTCTGAGAACGGTCCTCAGTACGGATTACTGTGCATGCGCCAAATGGACCATGACAGTTCTGTCATAACTTCTGCCAAAATGGCTGCCCAAACTAAATCAACTGCCATAATTATTTTCATCTGTGTAATGTGCATAGAGACTGAAATAAACTTTTCTATGAAGAGCTCCTCATTTGGCGTGCCTGACACGGTTCGGAGACCGGTTATTTTAGAGAAATGTAAACGGGTCAATTTCTTGGAATTTATCGCAGCCTGGTACCCTGCCGAGAACAGCACGCTTATCGCGGCCAAGTGTAAACGGGGCTTATGAGAGAATATTGATGACTAAAAGTCGTGTACACTGGCACATACCATATGGTGGTTGTAAGTGAGTGATCTTACTGAATCCATTCACTAAGATAATATTGTTATAGAGTCAATCTAAATTTTCAAACTATTTAGATTATATTTAATGCTTAGTGTATAGTTTAAACTTTACATAACCCTGAGTTTCTAGTACAGTTAATTATACTGAGTTGTCTGACAACATTCATTTAGTATAGAAGTTTAAATTCTTCTCTGTTTTTATGAATGGGTATAATGCTGTGTTCATGATCAATTATAATAATAGGTGTATAATGCAATATATGCTGGGCTGTAGAAAAAATTAAGAATGAATTTGGCTTGTTACATGTATAAAAGTGCTTTCAGCAGATCCAAAAGTATGTTTGAAAACTGTGAATACCAAATTATCTAAAAATAACTTCAAAATATCAATGATACATTCCAGCCTTTTTAAAGTTCTTCTTTATGCTTATGTCATAATATAATTACTTGCTTGCAATTGCATACACAAATGCAGAAGACATATGGCACGAAATAATACAAGAGGAATGCTATATGATATGATAAAATTCAGTTACATGTTTACAGAAATATAGACAGTTCAAATATTTGATGTCTTTTAAACACTGACTTTTCATCTGACTTGTTGTTTAAAATAAGTACTCTGTTAACACAGTAACAGACATTGTAAAATATTGGTCAGTACCTGTATATTATTTAGGGTTTGAATTACGTTTTTGTCTGACTATCTATTTTAAGCTCTTCTACCTACTTCTTCAACTTTCATACATGTGCCAAGAACGGTTCCATTGTATATTTATAGATTGTCTATGTCTGCTACATACCTTTATCTTTAGTATATAATCTGTTAGGTTAATTAGACCATTAACTACTAGGAAAAGGTTTTTACCAAAATTCCTGTAGTACAGTAAACCTATCGGTCATAATATTTCTACAATCATTACATTGGACTCTGACCAGAAATCTTTTGCTTTAAGTCTGTTGATTTCTATCAAAACATTTATTGTACATTGTAACTTAATGTATGACTTTTGAAGTTTACATATGTCAATGCAAAGTTCAATCTTTGTAGGTCATGTTCATAAAACAAAAACAAAAATCTGAAAATGCTCCATACAAGTCATCCCTTTCTTTGTACAGTTTTTTGTGTTTGGAATTGGAATTGCTGAATTAGATTGTAAATGCAGCTTTTAAAGTAAATTACATATAGCATACTTTTGACTATTTGAAAACTATTTGATTTTCTTTTTCTTGTTTTGTCCCTTCAGATATAAGAAACACAACCAAATAATCTATAAGCCTTGATGAAAAGTCATAAATAAATATCAAACTCAATCGGCATTAGAGAAAATTGAAAGAAAATTTGTGTTCTTGGTGAACATACTTGTAATCGACAAATTTCCTGATTTGAATTGTTGGTTGATGAACTATTGTAATTGATTTTTTTCTCCTGCTTGAAGGATGTCTTTAATTGTAATCAGATATCCCTGGAGCTGGTCAATTGTGGGAATGTTTGGGATAATCCATTGGCACTGTTCATCTGTTTATGTGCAGTCAGATGGTCTTATATTGTCTGAACATGAACTTGAATCCTGCTGAGAAGATGAAATAATAGATGGAATAATAATTGGATCTTTAACATTATCAATAAAAGCAATTATTCCTGTTAGTAATATCAGTTGATAATAAGAGATGTTATTTAGCAATTCAATTGAAAATCTAATGAATGTGCTCCTGAAAGAAAATTTTCTTTAGTGTATTAGTCATTCAAGATAATGAACAATTGAGAATCAACCACTATAAATAAAGAAAATATCAATTGATTTAAAGGGATAATGAGAAAACAAAACTCCAAATAAGGTATAATGTTAGTATACATGTACGTAAACCTCCATATTTAAAGTAAATTTCTGAAAGAGTAAATACTTCAAACTATATAGTCTAGTTAGTTGCTGCTAAAATATTAAAACTCTTAAGCCATCCCAATTTAATTGGCAGTCTAAAATCAGATGTTGAAATAATATTGGGGGGAATTCTAACTATTTGGGCAGCAATCTGATTAATGAGAAGTTTTGGTTCTACAATCCTATAGGTTCATCTTAATAGCTTTGATTAAAGTCAAGAATGATGAACTTTATAGTACAAGACACAGATAAGAAGAGATAGATTTTGAAGTTGTTAAGTGTAATACTAACCACATGCCCTTCAGATGGTCAGTGAATGCTACAGATGTTAACATCTCTGGTAGTACTATTAGTTTTCTTGAATTATTTGGAATAGCAGATTAACTGTATCCATGAAAGACTTTAAGGTGGGTCTAGCTAAAACTATCACACTCACATGTTTTAAAATAGTATTTTAAACAAATCTCATTTGAATTTAACTAATATTTCTTAAAATCATAACAATACTAAAATCACACAATCTTTAAAAGTAACTGTGCATGATTTTCCTTATTTTCGGAAATATTGAATGGAATGGAACCATTGTTGGACTGATATTCCTATTAGAGATTCAACTATAGTCTGCAAGGGATTCCTATATCACTCAAATGACGCTCAGAAACATTGATCTAGTCTGTATCTCAAGATTGTGGTTATTTTCGCCAAGCCAGCCGTATGATGGGTGTAATAATAACTGAAATATGAGTAGTGAAAATAATATCTCTTTATTTGTTTTCATGAGAATTTCAAGGTTCAGTAATTTTCTCACACTACTGCTTTAGATTACATCCAATAGATTTATTGAATAGAGTTCTGTATGTAATCTTCCTTTACCTTATTATTTTCCTTTTTATACAAAATCTATAGGGCAGTGAACACTTAGTGTGCTTTGAGGGCAGGGCATGCAACTTAGTAGTTATGTGAAACAGAAATATGTGTGAATAGATAATGTTATTGCTATTAAATGATCTCAGAAGCTCATGGTAATTAAGTATGTTGGTTCAAGTTCGATCCTTATTGTCGAGATGTTATTCTGTGGATTTGTTTGTTTGTTTCTTTGTCAGGGACATGATTCTGACGCGGCTGCATCAATCTTGACCAAACTTGTATGGTATGTCAGCCCTATGAATCTGGTTGTGAACCTGGTATTTTGATTGCTATGGCAACCGATAAACATAATTTTTTAGTTTTTGGTCTTGTTATTTGTTCAATTTGAACAAAATGGCTCAACAGGTAAAACAGCACATTTTTTGTGAAAATCACCTTTATCCCACAAATTTATCCCCTTTTTTTCCCATAAAAAAATTTGTGTTCAGTTAATCTGTATTCCAGATCGGCTGCCCCTTTTTGCTTCATAGCTGCATGTTTTGAATCGACAGAGTATGCTTATTTTCAATGTACACTAGCGTCAAACGTAAATATCAGTGAAAAGAAAAATGTGCCAGCCTACTAAATGTATTTTGGGTGTCTTATTCTCTGATAAAACAAAACAGACTGACATAAATTTGTCTTGAATTACCCTTCTTCCTATAAGATTTATCATATTGATAAAACTGAAATGGCAAAGGGTAAAAATATATTTTATTTTGTGTACTATATAAAAAGTAAGTAGGTCTGGTGGTCTCTGTAGAGGTATTTCCACCTACTCATATAAATGGTATCTTTGAGTCAGTGGTTGGTTTCCTGTTTGATATAAGACATAGCAGATAGCTTATACCAAGTATAAGGCACTTCCTGTTATCTGATGCCAAAAACCTCTCTTTTTAACTCAACAGTTGTCCTATTAGTGAAGAAATTTGATTGACAAATTGAACTTGTGGTGTAAACATAAACAAGTAAAATGACCTTATTTGCATAAATTTTCCATGTATTTATGTTTGATTCTTGAGACTCTTGTTTAAAATTTAGTAAGATGTGTGTTCTGTCATGCAATTTACTTCAAACGAATTTACATGTAGTGATGATACAGGAATTTAACTTATATCAGAAGTTAGACACCATCTTAAATTTGGCTGAGGATGTTGAGTCAACATTGTTGACTCCACAGGATTCAATTTTCAAAATTATCAGAGAGAGCCAACAGTGACACAAGGAGAGATATTTGGTACCTATAAAAGTATAACCTAACCCTAATATGAGTAGACATTATTAATTTGTATCTTGAACAGATAATAAAGATTTGTGCATATTGTTTCCCTCTCCCCAGCTAATTCTTTCACCAATCACCTGTGTTCTTTAGACTGTGTTCTTTGGTCATGGATAGAAATGAGTTATCCTTCAGTCGGTTCCTAGCCAGTATAAGAACAAAAAGCTGACACCTTGAAATAAATAGAATGACTTTAGACCAATGTGAATTTTGTAGATTTTCTTTTATTGTGTATGATCTAAAAGTCTATATTGGCTATTCAGTCTGGAAAGTTAGGGTCTTATTATAATATTTCCGTTTTTAGCTGCTAAAGTGTATTCTCACAAAGTGACAGATTAAAAGTTATATTTATCTTAGAACTAGAAAATCTATACTCTTACTGGTACACTTATTCATCGTGAAACAACTTATTTCTGTATTTCTAGAACGCAGATGAGATGATAAATGTCTGTTTTAGTCAGAGTTCTGAATTAGGTTTATTGGGGTTGATTTAGAGGCATTGGTTGGTACTCCTATTAGACAGCAGCTGACAGTTTAATAAAAGAATTTTTTTATACCATTGCCCAAAATATTGGTTCATATACCAGTATCTGAAGTACATGCTCATTATTATAACTATAGACATCAACTATTTTTATTTTTAAGAATATTTAACTGGTCTTCCACCATGGCTTGTACCAGTATATTAATGTGGTTTTTTTTTATGCAGGATAAATTAAATTGGTTTAATACAATATAAAAATTTAGACCTCCTGCAGAAAACTTTGTATATTATTATATTATCATGGATATGCCATAATTGTTTACTAGCGAAGATATACATGTATGTACATAGATATCATTGCTTATCATTTGTTATTTATTTACAATCACTGGTACAGCTACTAGGTTACTTATCTAATAATATCTAGTATTTATTGTAATGCTCAAATAGTGAAGATACTGATATTGGCTTGAAAACACTGTTAATAATAATAAACATTTACTAGAACCTTGGTGGTAAATCACTGCTTGAAAAGGCAAACACATATGTATTTTTTGTTAATTGTCTTTTATTAAAACAATAAATTTTGTCCTCCTCCCGACCTTTAAAGAAAATGGTTCCTTCCATTCGTCTGTCTGTCTGTGTATCTGTCCATCACACTTTTGGAGAAATAATATCTCTGCTTCTAATTGAGGTAGAATTTTCAAACTTGATGTAGGTGTTTATTATGTGAATGCCATGACTGAGTTCGATGATGAGCGTTTTCTGCTTAGGCTAAGCAGCAGAGATAAGCAATGGTGAAGCTTGACGTATATCATTACATCAATACCTAGTTGCTTAAGTTCGATTACCTTGACTAAGTTAGATGATGAGCAATTTTATTAGTCAAGACTCTGGAGCTCGACAACTTTGATTTTCTAATTGAGTGAAAATGGGGAAACTTGGTGTATATAATTACATCAATACCAATTACCATAACTAAGTTCGATAATGCGCATTTCCTATAATTTCATTACATCAATACCCTGACTATGTTCAATTCTGCATCCATCTAAACACTGATAAGCAATATGATTGTTGCTTTATAAAAAAGAAAAAAAAAGCAATTAAAAACATGTGTCATCTAATCGATTTTTCAATTAGGCGGGGGGACACTTGTTTATAATAATTCTCTTTTCTATGAAATTCCATGTGTAATTTTTCAATAACGCACTTTTTAGACAACCTCATTTCATGTTGGGGTGTATTTAGTCATCGCCCTTGCTATACACACCTCACCCCCATACCGTTAGATTTAATTGTGATCTTGGGATTCTTATAGTTGGTTACTTTAGTTTTTGTATTTCATACATGATATTATTGTATATCATAGATAAAAAGTATCTTACACAGTCTGAAACATTTTGCTTAAAAGAAATATACAGTAATTAAACTTTATGTATGTCATTGTCAGATTACATGTATGTGAATTACTATAGTTTGTTTAGTCATTTTGTGATGATTTTTCTTTGGTGAATCAGTTCTTCAGGAATCTGTTTCTTGTGGACCAGATGGTATTAGATGTAGGAATAAACAAACTTTGAAGAATAAAATATTGTAATTTTATCATTATACCCCCAGTGGGGTGGGTATATGGTTGTTGATTTGTCTTTCCATCTGTCTATTTATCTTTTTCCCAACAAACTATTTGAACTTGGCCTTTTTTAGGAGTTAAGCTGTTTCTGGAGCAAAACTAAAAACTAATTTACTTTGACATCTGCAGTAATTTGCATATTTTATGACAATTTTAGCATTTTATGACAATCTTAGATAGTCTTAGAATTCCAGATCCATGGTCAGTTCTTGCACACATGCTGATAAAACTTGTTTTTACCTGAACACTAAAACTTTTAAACTAGGACTGGATGAACTAAGTAGGAATTGACCACCAAGGCAGAAAGGTTCTTTAAAACCAGAATGTTTGGTCTGGACTATTTATTTTGCTCTTCATAGATATCTGTCTGGTAAACAATGTAAATACATGTACTAGTAACTGATATGATGATTGACTGGTTATCAACTAATAAGATTACTTGTAAATTGTGTTTTCTAGCCACTGGTCAAGGGTCTGGGACAAAGTCTCTAATGTACCCTTTAAGTGTCATTAAGATATGATAGTATTTCTTTATCAACACAGAGATGCTAGACCAATGTTTTGTGATTTTATAAATTATTCTTTAAATCAGGTTCAAACACAACTACTGACACCCTTGTGTGCCAGAAATATGAGTAGGTGACAAATGTTGTAACTTTTACAAAATAAATGCAGTAAACTTAAGGGACATGAAGTGAAGTAAATATAAAACAAAATACAAGTTAATGTTATCAGTTATCATCAGTTGTAATGGACAATGTCCATGTTATCGTGATTGATGGACCACAGGGAACCATCAAGATATCTTAAGTGTTAATGGACTCCTTGGAGAGATACATGAACCACAGATAATGAAAGATACTGATGCTACATGTATTATTGTATTGTCTTTTTGTAGAAATATTGTAACTTTAAGTTTTAAAATTGAAACATAAAATGATAAACTTGAACAAATATGTACCAGTACATATTTAGAAAAACCACTTGTTGTTTTATGAGGAGATTGACTCCAATTGTTAGAGTAGAAATAATATTGCTTAATCAACAGAAATTATGTGTTATGGGCTATCCAGTAACACCAATCTATTCCTAGAATATAATGTTTGTATGATCTGCATTTATCTGAAGTAAAGTTTGTAGTGGAGATTGACTTATAATGAGTTTAACAGGATAAGAGATGAAGTGATGAAGAAGAGTTATTTGATGAGATCAGACAGTAACATCATGTTTCTATAGATAGATACTTCGTTCTATGTACAGCACTCCTTTCTTTCACCTATATACCAGTATTAATGATTCATAATGTACACTGTTCATTATGCCCAGTGCATCATTTTTTCGTGCTTCTTGGAACTGTAAGCATCTGCTGGGATTTCGATAAAAATGAAGGTTAAATTTTTTGAAATAGCTCCACATGTATGAGAAATTTAATCCTGAAAACCATTTATTATGTAAACAGTTGAGTTGAATGCCAGAATAAAAAAGAAAGTTTTGATTTCAAGCTGTTTTATTCCATTGTGTATTAACTACATGTGCTAACAAAAAAAATTGATCAGTGTTGACAAACTTTTACTCCACCCCAAGATAACTGAAATTTATAAAAACAATTTATGTCTTATTCTTATTATACTGTTTTTATTTGTTACAGATAAATCCAAACAGTAAGGCGTATAATGAGGGAGTAAAAGTTGGTGATTATGTTGAGGCTGTAAATGGTCATAGGACAGAAAACATTAATATTGGGGACACACAGCTAATAATCAAAAACGCATCTGATGAACTTCTTCTTCAACTAAGAAGGTATGTTGTATTTATTTTATATTTCCTAAATGTTGACATCTTTGTAACAGTATACTTCATTGATATAATTATCAGTTTTTGGAGGTTTTAATTTATTTTTTATTACCAACAAAATTCATAGTTCAGGTAGAGTTTAAGTAAGTTCAAAATTTACAGGCCAGAAATGTCTCTCTAAAACATGTATATAAGTAATTTTCTGATCTTTTAATATCATCATATAGATTTGTCAAATTTAATGTACAGTGTTGCACATAAAATTTTGAAGTAGTATGACACATTGAATGATACTTGTACTTATTTCAAGCAATTATTTCCTAATTTCCCTTTACACAAGATGCAATCGGATACTAGATTTTAGAAATCATATCAATTTTAAAGTAACTTAAATTAAAGGAGATTAACGAGGCAAGCAAATTTTTTGTGTTTTATTATTTTTGTTGATTTATTGGGTATGACTGGGTCAAATTATGATACTGGTGAATTTTCCTAGCCGCTGTAGAATAGAAAGTTAATTTATTGATTAAATATTAGAGAGCTCTTAATCTGTAGAGCGAATGCTATTTGATTCTCATTTAATGCGTCTTACATTTGTATCCTCTAGAATTTGATGCTCACTTTATCAGACAAATAACTTGATAATAGCAATGATTTTCTCAGAAAATTCTGATACAGTTTCTGTGTTGAACACTATTCTCTTTATTGCTCTTCCTCAGTAAAGTTCTTTAAATAGACAGTCATTATCACTAATGAGATAGTTCAGGCATGAGTTACAGGATTAAGATGGACTGCTGTTCTCTATCTTAAAATAACACCAAGATAACCAGCTGCATGTGGTATGAGTTACCATTTAAAAGAATTGGCACACCTTTTTGCAACATTAAAAAATAGAAAATCAACGTTATTGTGATTTATTTAAGAGTATACATTTGCATGTATCCATTGTTTTGTATAACTTGTTTTTACATAGACACTAAAGCTAAAAGTGTCAGTGGATGGCCACAGGATGCAAATTGTTGTCAATCTCATCTGTGTTTGTGATTTCTTGTTCATATTTTGTGGGGGATATATTTTAAAGTTAGAAAGATATGCGTTATTGAATATGCAACTAACGTTGACTGCTCTGCCTTTCAAAACACATTATGTTTTTGAATTCGACAGCAGAAGTAAATATGAAAAGATAGGTTGCGAGACAACAAAACCCATGTCCAAAGTTGTTCGAGCTCTTCACAAATGCTAGTACAAGACACTAAAAAGTGATCAATAGTTTTCCTAGTGCTAACCTTTATTGTAGAAACATGTACGAATAATCAGTTCAAGTTGTCAGAAATTGTTCATAATCATAACACTGTACATGTATATAAATTTCAAACCAATCAAATGATAACCTTAGCCTTTAGGGGGTAAACAAGATTTGTCAAAGTTATTAAGAGGAATAATCATCATCTGACAATTGAAATCATTGGAAATGGATAGACTTCTTGATCCCACAAACATAAATAGTGTGTATAAATGTAAAAGCTGTCAAATGATAACTTTAGCATCTAGAGCATCCACATTTTTTTTTTCAGTTTGATCAAGGGCACTAACTCTGGCATTGTAATTTCATATATCAGAATCAGCAACATGGTATAAATTTCATGGGTCCACAAAATCAAGGATCATAAATCTGAAAGTAATTATTGGAAATCATTGAAAATGGACTGGCTTCTTTGTCTCATGAACATTATTGCTTTAGCCTCTAAAGCATCCACAAGCAATTATGAAGGACGGACAGATGATTATATATGATAATAAACATTCTATCTAATCAAAGTTTTTGAAATCACAAAATATGTAATTGCAAATAATTTTAATACAGCTGCTTAAGAAGTACTGAAGTGTTACTTCCTTCACAATTCAATCCTTTAATTTAGGCATGTCAATTTATTTGGGTTAGTAATTTCAAGAGAATTCAGTAAATGAGTAATGGAATTCGGGTATTTACATCATCATCATCATCATCATTGAGAGAGAGAAAGAGAGAGAGAGACTCCACTCAACACAAACTAGGTCATTTCGGGACAAATCAAGCTATAGCCATGAGAAATATCTCAGTACTGGTTTACCACATACGTGTATTCTGGACCATGTAATCACACCTGGTTGGTATGATATGAAAAAATAACTTTATCATTGATTTTATAAATAGATAAGACTTCAAAGGGTAGCTTTAAAAAAGTAACCCATTAAAAATTAATTTTATCATTCAATGTCTGAATGAAGTTTTATGCCCATGGTATATACCAATGCTCATATATTATTTACAAAATACTGTCTTAGCATACATATAGAAAATATAATTAAAAGTTGGCATGGATTCAGTTTCAGCACAAAATAAAATGACATTTATTAGTAACAGTGACAGGTTTAATAGAGAAATTCCCCCCCCCCCCAAAGACTATAGATGGTTTATGGCATGTCTAGAAATGAAATGTGAAACACTTCATTCTTTATTATGATTCTACTAATTTCCTCTCTGAATGAATTTACTTATCCTGAAAAACTACTAATGTAACATTCAACACAGATATAGTACTGGGTTAATTTATTACCATGGAAAGATTTGTGTTAGTTGAAATATTGTTTTCTGGGGTGCAACTTGCTTCATTTACCTTCTGGTTTAATTTATCAATAGCACTGTGCAAGAGTGAAGTGTCTTTCGAGTAAGGACTTATAGTATATTTGTAGGTAAAAAAATGTCAGCTGACATGTTGAGTTAACTTTTCTTATATTAATTAATAATTGATATAATTATTGTTTGAAGTAGGTACATACATTATAGTTGACTTATAAGTAATTTACGGTTCAGTTGACAAGGAATGTTAATGACAGTTAAAGTAGCTAAGTCTCTTACTCAATATCATCCAACATCTTTGACATTGAAAACACGATTTATTTGTCGGTTTAAATCAACATTGATGTTGTGATCTTACCGGGAAAAGATGGTCTTCTGATATCCAATATTTAAGACAAAATAAACATTTTACAATTGGTACACGAATCGTGTACCATAATGCGTTTCAGCGCTATTTGTAATAAGGGACTCCACAAGTCATGTCAAACGGTGACGCTATATTCTTATCTGGAGAGCATGCCCAATAAATATCGGCGTAGACTGGAATAACCAGAAGCTAGAGATTAAAATTTGATTGAGAATACTGGCGTATGTCGCCGAACCTAACTGATTATAAAATTACAGTAAAAAAGAAACGATTGAATGTAAATCAATTTATATACATTCATATTACATTATTGTATGCGTTGCGACCCATTTGTGTCAATTTCTAGGTCCCAAATATTAGCGACTTAGCTCCTTTAATAATAAAAAGCTGGTTATATATGAGGGGAGGGGGGGGGTCTATCTTGAAATGTCACTGGCAGAACAAACTATTATAATAGAGAGTATGTCAGATTAGAATGTAAATATTTAAAAAGCATAAAAAATAAATAAATAAAACTGTAATTTGATTTTAATTAGATTGAAATAATCACGCCACTGGGCAGGAATTAAATTTTTGAATGTTTTGATTTAGGTGTCCTTTAAATTTGTATTGAGATTGAGTTTCTATGTTTCACCAGAATCAAATTACCAGAAGTATCAGCGTTCTGTACATGTAATCCGAAGGAAATAGCAAGTTGCAACTTAAGACATGGGAGTACAAAGACAATATTATAATACAAACTCGAAGGGTTCTAAGACAGTACACACATTTACATGTACACACCCCATGAACAAATTAAAAAATGAAGGTTTAAGAAAAAAAAACATGTGAAAATCAAGATTTGAGAACAATTTGAATTACATTGATCGATGTTGGAGGGGTGGGGGTGCAGACCTAAATGCTAAAAAAAAAACATCACGCTTACAGATGATGGCACACTGATTATCAGCGAGCGCAGAAATTTCGGAGCTTACCATGTAGGGGCCTCCCCAAGAGAGTTTGGTAAACTTGACAACCGCAAATGTGTTTTACTGCTATTCCAGCCCACTATTCAATGTGGTCCTATATAGCCTAACTTAGGTGGCTGACCTGAATTCCAACAACCAATCAACTGTGTAGTCCACAGCGGGATATGGGGAACTCACCCTCCCAGAGAAAATTTGATCGCCGCAGATGCATTTTTCTGCTATCAAGCAACTTCAAAGTTGTCCAATGCAGACAAAATGTTATAATCCATAGTCAATTCAGTACAAATTTGTGGTATTCAATTAGAAGAAAAGTAAAATTAGTGTTTTATTAGATTTCGGGGACTACATGTAGATGATATTTTGCCAAGCAGAGTGGCTGCAGAAAATATTTTTTAATCCATAGTCAATTCAGTACAAATTCATGGTATTCAATAAACAGAAAAGTAAAATTAGTGTTTTATTAGACTTCAGGCACTTTATTTTGTCAACTGGATTGTATCATAATTTTTTTTCCCCCACTTTACCTGTCTGCCCGAAAAGTCAGATTTCCCAAAAGTTGCTGCCCTCCCCAGCCCCCATGGCTTGTATGCCTATGACATAACAAATTATCAATTACTCAACACACACAATGTTTCAGTCTTTTACTAGAAAAAATGCTTTTGTTTAACTATAAACTATCTATTGTTCTAGTTGGCGATTCAATTCCGCTCTCTTTATCCTATGTTAATGTTTGCATAATGTCCCATTAATTTCAGTGTAAAAGTGACCATAAAAATGATAAAAATTAATTACTATTGATACTATCCTCTAACATTATTACAGCGTTATTCACCTAGTCTCTTTGACCCATTGGCTTCCATTCTTGAAGCCAGACAATTTAGATTATTATCAGCCTGCCCTGGCAACAGTCCATGCCAAAAAGAAAACCTTTTTTTCCTGGTTTTCAAGCTGAGCGTGATAAGTTGGTATGTGGTGTTGTCATGAGCAAAAAGTAAAATTAGTTTAAGCATGACATTGTAATTATTATCAGGTGTTCTGGGTAGTGCCTGCT